CGGTCATGTGGTTTGAGGCTCCAAAGTCAATTACCCAAGGGGAACCACCGGTATGAGATGACACACGGAAGGCAGTGGCAGTGTTTCTTGATGTAGATGCGAAAGAGGTAGGAGTAGGACCAGAATCCATCTGGCAAAGAGTCCTATCATATAACTCCAAATGGWCATGGAAGGAGTTGATGATCTCTTCTTTAGGGTCAAAACTGGGATGCCTTTCCTAAGTTACCATGGGACCAGTCTCTTGAGATGTCATATTAGCTGAGTTATATTTTTTCTGATTCTGCTGACTTGGTTTCTTGCCCTAATCGGTTGTTGACTTCTTACCCAAATCCTGTGCCCATTTAGGTTTTCCATGGAAATCCCAACATGTATCTCTGGTGTGTCTTGTCTTCTAGCAGTGAGTGCACTAGAGTTTACTCTTATCATCATTTGTTCTCTTCTGAGAGTCACCCTTCTTAAAACCACCTCCAACATTAGTATCTGAACTTCCTTGGACAGGTAGGGCGACTGGCTCCCCCTCTATACAATTCATCACATTTCTTCTACTCTCTTCTGACTGAACTAAGGCATAAGCCTCCTGAATTGATGGCAAGTCTTTACTTCCCAAGATCTGCACCCTAATGGACTCGTATAAAGGATTCAACCCCAAGAGGAAGGCAAATACCCATTGCTGAGATACAAGTGATTTGTATGCCTTTGCATCTTCATCACACTTCCAATTTACATTCTGATAGTGATCAAGCTCTTTCCATTCGTTTTCCAGAAGGTCTACAAGCATTAATTACTAAGAGGGATCCTTACACACATGACATCAAGCCAACAAGCAAAGAAAACAGGTCATACGTGACCTACAGCCACTTTTCATAGGTATAGGATCACACAATCCAAAGCAAACAAAGGTAATAAACCTCACGAGGGTCTATCGACATTCAGTGGTTCAGAAACCATTCGTTTTCCTCTTGGCACATGACCAAGGGAAGAATAAAAAGGAAAGAAATAGGGCTGTACCAGTTGCAGATCTGATTCGATCAACCCAGATTTACTCCTCTGTTTCGCCCAAATTCAGCAGCTTGGAGAAGACACTTGATCTGATTCAATCAACCCAGATTTACTCTTCTGTTCCGCCCAGATTCAGCAGCTTGGAGAAGGCACTTGATCACCCAGATTCAATGGCCACACTCTGATACCATCTTGACGGTAAATCCAATTGAAGATTAAAGAAGAAGAAGAAGAGAAGAGAAGAAAAGAGAAGAGGAAGAAGAGGAGAAAGAAAAGAGAAAGAAGGATTAGAGGCAATGGAACATTGCTGGCGGCGCCAGCTTCATTATAATATATAGGGCGAAAAAAAAATAAGGGAAATGACCCTTGTGCCCCTACTATAAGTAAAGTCCAATAATCAGAAAAACAAAAACGCTTTAATCATCCAAACAGACCCTAACAAAAAAAATCAATTTTTTCAACAGTCTTTTTAGTGAGTTACTTCAATTTAAATGTCTTGTAGGGAATAAATTTGACAGATTTTAATGTTACTTATTACTATCAATTGGTCAAGGATAGTTTAGGGAGTATATCAAGAATTTAAAGGATTTTAAAGGACTATAAAGCTCCTAAACACCAACTGCTATAGAGTTACTTTTCTGCTCTGCAAAGTTTTCCATTGATTGCTGATAAGTAATTGATATTCTCCGATTAGATTGCTGTTTAGAGGAATTTTTCATTGCATTCTTTTATTGCCCTTCCTCTTTGCAAACATCGAATCATCCAATAAAGAATTTTTCGATGCGTATTCAGTCATTGCAGAAAACCTCTCCATGATTGTTCAAGGCCGGTTAATCAAAACCTTTAGCAACAGAATCACATCTTGTGGAATCTCAACTTGCAATTTGATACAGCCTTTGTAAAGAAATAAATAGGAGGATCCTCAAGCATGGGAGGTGAAAGGGAAGATAGAGACTACGGAGACCATTATGATTAGTTGGTTTCAATTTAGATGCTGGAACTATTGACAAAATATCATTTTTGGGATCATTAACAGGATGAACAAAGGCTTTATTAGGTTAGATATGAACCTTCCAAAGAGGAAAGGCTAGCACTTCGATAAACAAAATACACAAGCTAATCTAGCTACCCTACGAGGGATGCTTGTCAGTACAAATCTACCCTTTCCACACCATCTCTAGCTAGGCTATCAGCTAGGGAGTTCACTAATATCCAGATCACGTGAATGAGATGCCTTGATGTAAAATGAAAAGGGAAAAAGTCCTATTAGGGGGTAAACGGTGGATAACAACTCAGATTTGATATATGAGTAATGAAAGGGAAAATAGAAGTGTTTCAGATCTAAATTAATGTTAGAAAATAGAGAAATGAGAAGACTGAAGATAAAATTTAGAAGAGAGGGTGAAGTTTATAATCATTCTATAACAACAACTCACTAAATCAACTCTAAAATTTCAATTATATTGATTCTATTTATAGGCTAAGCACAAGGGCTCAAATCTTCCATTACAAAATAACTATTTTAAAACAGAAATAAATAACCCATGGAAACACTGAAATAATGACTCTGATTCCTAAAACTCTAAATAGTCACTACTAATACTAGTAAAACTAAATAAATCAAAAAGAAATCCAAGATATACCAAGAAAATTTAAGTCTCAAATCCCATCACAAACTGACATCCTATTAGCAAAATGACCACAGCTTATCCAAAAGATGTTGCATTTACAAGACTTTAGTCTGGTTATTGAGAACTCAATACTTATCTAACGACATTAAAACCATGCAAAACAAACAATTTTTTTGTCATTTAAAAATAGAATGGAAGAAAATTGACATTATTGCAACTTCAGCTCTTCAAAATTCTAAGTACTTTGGATTAAGAATCATTAAACAACCCAAACCCATTAACATAATTAGTCCTATTATTCTGAAGACAAAAACTAGAAAATAACTTTTGGAAATTCAAATTAGGAGAAAAACATATCACCCAAAATTTATTAAACTGCTAGGGATGCAATAATCTTCCATGAATTCGTTCCCTCTTTCCATGTCTACATCATGCTGACATTAGAAACTAGAGGCCTAGCATCTCATGAAGTATCTAAATAAATCTTCATGGGCCTTCATTATCATCTTGCTCCAGTCAATTACCACATTAGAATCTCCTTCCACCTCCACATGGTGAACTCCATCTGCAATCCTTGCAATAATGTCTTTATTTCCATACAAATAGAGTTGGGAATTCCTATACCTGAAGGGCTTGGTATCATAGGCAGAAGCCACCAAAATTTAGTCTCACTTCTCTTTGCACCGGAGGAACCCAAGGCATAATATTATTTATGTCTCAATCTTAAATGTAAATGATCTATATTTGAATGTGGCAAAATCATTTACAACTCCTTTTTAACATGGTTATGGCCTGTCTACCTCATACTAAAATATAAATTTCATCCTTATCATAAATAAAGTAAATAATGCAGAAAGACTCCAAAACAATATACATGGGAAGTACATAAACCAAAAGAAATTCTTAATATAAAAGGTAACAGTAACAGTCCACAGAAAAATAGCCAATCTGCTCATTACTTAGCAGCTCTTGATGGATTTGGCTGGGAAAGAGAAAAGCAAGCTATTGATAACAACTAAATAATGTAGGTTTAGGAACTAAAATCATCAAAAAGGGATAGATTTCAGAATTGATGCATGTAAGAAACTTAAGTGTTGCATATTTGAATTATTGAAATATCATCATCCAAAACCAAACAAAGTAGCTAAATAGCAATCATAACCTTCTCAAAAATTTGTAGTAATGCAGTCAGTAGWTGAATACTAAGCTAATAACATACTTCCAAATGGCATGCATTAGCAAAAAATCCAGCAGTAATTGCCTTCCTCAGTACCTGCAAGAGAAGAAAAGTAGTATGTTTGTCAACATGCAAGATGAAAATAGATAAAAAGAAATAGCTATGATGCTCCAAAGAGGAAAACTAGATAAAAAATGTATGCAGGAACAATGAATAATCAACAAAGATAGAATAGTTTTACCAGCAAATTTTGATAACACTTTCAGATGTACGTTGAAAGTGTTTGACATGGTCCCGTGCCTAACCTCTGATTAGAGGAAAAATGTCTGAACATAGTTAGACACGGTATCACATCTAATCGATTCAGACGCATTTCAGAGGTGACGAAATGACGCTAGTGCCCCCATTAACGTCATTTATTTAATAATAGTAATAATAATAATAAATAATATTTATTTAATAACAATATTTAAATACTAATATTTTTATTAAAAAATTATAATATTTTTATTTCATAGTAATAATAATTATTATTATTTAATAAATAGATTTTTTTATAACATTTTTATTTAATATTATTAAAAAATCCATTTCTAGGGGTAAAGTAGTAAATTTCATAACTTCAGACGTTGGAGAATTGCTCCAACCAAAACGCTCTTATCTTTTTAGAGCCTTAAAAAGTAGAAAATACTTTGTATTTCTTTTCAGATTTTAGACCCGAATAATATCCTTTTAACGTTTCAGATATTAGACTTTTATCAAATACCACCTAAATGATTAAAATTGATAATCAATGCCAAATAGATTTCCTTATTTTCTACCATACTTTGTTTTTCAGTGCTAGGTGGTCATTTGGTTACACATCCAAATCAACTATCTGAATGCTGAAAAGAGCTCAGAAATTTTCAGCAGCCAAGCTACCTTTGAGCACGTTTGAAGGTAGCAGATGAAAAATTTTTTCCACCCATACCTCTTTAATAATTTGAAAACTCAACTTTACCATATATTTTTATCAAGAAGACACTGTTCATTGTCTTCCTATTTGAACAAAACACAAAACCAGAAAGCACTCTCTCTCTCTCTCTCTCCTCTTCCTCATTATCAATGAACAAGAACCAATAAGCCAGGATCGGTTCATAGCATTCAAAGTCCACCCAAGATAGTCGTGGATGTCCTTGCAGGTACCACTGGTACTAGATGATTTCTTCTCCTTGTAGGTGAACCATTGTGAAGGCTACTTGATCTTGGCTTGGTGTTTCACTGCACTCAAAGAATCTCTCGGCTCTGTAGATCCAAGAGATCAGATTGCCTACAGAAAAAATTGGAAAAGTCAACTTGCTGTTCTTGTCAATGGTTTAACTTCCTTGCCAACTACTTCCCCGGCTGCCTCCTTGCTTGGCACCCCTGCCCACTTCCAAAGTGCTCTGTTCCAAACATCGTAGGACAGTTTCCATTGTTTCCTTGGTTTCACATACATCAACGGAGATGCAATGTAGCTCAACCTCTACCTGACTGGTCCTTGCCTCCATGGATGTAGCTCTAATATTTGGCATCCAGGCATCTGATACCAAATTGTTAGGAATCTGCCCAACACAGGGTTCTTTCGAGGAAACCAAATGAATTGCTCCTATATTCCTTCCTCCTTCCCTTCTTATTTATATTGCAGGTAAGTTGTTACAATTCGGTTACATTGGTTATGCATTCTGTTGTGATATAATGGCATCAACCTAACTACCTAATGTACCCGAATGCTGATGTGTACCTCTTCTTTTATACATAATAGGTCGCTTGTTCCCAAACAAGGGTCTTGGTTCCTTGGAATCCTCGATTCTAACAGAATTTGATTATTTGGAACTTGGAAGAGCAAGAAATGAAGTGTCATTGCTAGAAGTAGTGCTGAAGTGGAATATAGAACAATGGCCCATACTACATGTGAACTTGTTTGGCTGAAACAGTTGTTGCAGGAGGTTGGAATGGAGGTTCTTATACCTATAAAGTTATTTGTCACAATCCGGCTGTTATTCACATCTCCTCTAACCCAGTGTTCCATGAAAGAACTAAGCACATAGAAGTGGATTGTCACTTTGTGAGAGAAAAAGTTACTAGTGGAGAATTCGTCACACCATATGTAAGATCAGAAGATCAACTAGCAGACCTCTTCTCCGAGGGTTTAAGGTGCACATGTATGAATTACGCTTGTGATAAGCTGATCTTCATGACATCTATACTCCAGCATGAGGAGTATATTTGTAGTTTCTAGTCTATTTATCAGTTAGGCAGCATGGCAGATTTGTCTTTTTTCAGTGAGGGCATGTTTGTAGTTCTAGTCTATTTAGAAGATTTGTCTCGTTATTTAAGGTGCCGTTTGGCAAGCCTTTTTTGGAAGATCTGACAGCCAAAAGACATAGTGGGCTTTTACATAAAGATCTTGGCAGCCCACAGTAGAAGTTCAGGACTGTTATCAGTCTTGAACCCTAATGGATTTCAGGATCGAAAATAAGAAGAAAGGAAAGAGGAAAGAAGAGGAAGAGGGAGGAGAAGCAGTAGAACACAAGAGTTGAAAGGAGGAGCAGAAGCTTAATGTTCTGC